AAATCTGAGCTGTCTACACTGGCCCTTTTGCGCAAAAGTTTTGTGCAAAAGGACTTTTGCCTGAACGGGAGCAGCATAGTATTTCTGCAAGAAGCACTGATTTCTTACAGTAGGAAGTCAGTGTTCTTGCGGAAATTCAAGCAGCCAGTGTAGACAGCTGGCAAGTTTTTCCGCGAAAGCAGGTGCTTTTGCGGAAAAACTTGCCAGTCTAGACACAGCCTTAGGGTGTGTCTAGACTACATGGCTCCGTCGATGGAGCCATGTACAGTAGTTTACCCGACATAGTCAATGAAGTGGGGATTTAAATAATCCTCGCTTCATTAAAATAAAGATGGCCGCTGTGCTGTGTCGACAATCAGCTGATCCAGCACAGCGCGGCAGTCTAGGCGCGGATCGGTTGACAAGGAAAGCCTTTGGCGTTTCACGAGGCATAAGGGAGCGGTCGACAAAGGCTTCCCTTGTTGACCAATCCGCGTCTAGACTACCGCACTGTTCCGAATCAGCTGATTGTCGGCACAGCATGGCGGCCATTTTTATTTTAATGAAGCAGGAATTATTTAAATCCCCGCTTCATTGACTATGTTGGGTAAACTACTTTACATGGCTCCTTCGACAGAGCCATGTAGTCTAGACACACCCTTAATGTCACTCAATGTCTTAGTAACCAAACTTGCTAACCAAACGAGTTGTGAACCGTCCTTTGAGATTCGCCAGATGCTCAGACAGACACCAGCAGGTTTGTCTGCTCCCATGGGCCGGAGCCATAACGAAAGAGATTGCTGAGATCTCCCCACAGTCACAAACCAGGGTCTGTTTTGCTTTGGCCAGAATGCCCTGGAGGCCACATCTTGCCCGCCGCTATCTGCAGCCAGCACAATAATGTGTTGTTTATACGGTGAAAACCAAACAAGTTCAAAACTCCCCTCTGAGTTGAGTGAGACCCTGAAGAGGCCATTTCAGTTTAGACCCAGATTTAAGCCCCCTGGTTTTACGGAGGGTACTGTGACAGACCTCCCTTAGTGATGGCTAGAGGACCCCGCACTCACACAACGAAGGGGAACACCAGGAGCTGGCAGCCGCTTTGATGACAGGTTTACGTTGGGGGCAAGGACCAGAAGGAGGGGAGCAAAGAGGAAAGAGACGATTAGGCCCTGAGATGAGCGTGTTGCTGCATCCGCATGCACAGGAGAGAGGCTGAAGGAGGAAATCCAGTTTTTATAGGTTAGGAAACGTATCCCACCAGTGAACCGGGAAGTGAGTTCTCCACACTGGCGGGACAAACCACAGCACTGAATATGCAGGAACAAACATTCCCCAAGGCTTTCGGCCTGGTTCGTAACCGTTACACTGTCAAGCTCTGCACTGATGGAGCAGCTGCCAGCCAAGACTCTCCCAGCAGGTTACAAACGTGAAGGAATGAAGCTCCATCCTGGAAGTGTTAGGGCTTGTCTATACAACCGCTTAGTTGGCAGCACGTGCAGTGTGACTCTGTCCTGTCCTGGCCCATGGGGACCCTGCTGAGGGGCACTAAAAGTTCCTTCCTGTGCTGCGAGCCACACCATTTCAAAGCGGAGGTGGTAAAGTACACGGGGAACTGTTCTTGTCCATCAGCAGGGTCCACACAGATAGATAGTGCACGGCAGGTGAGTGTGTGATACATTCTTATGTCTACACAAAGCCTCAGTTGCAAGCTAGAGTGGGAATCTAAGAATGGCTGTATTGGGTCAGACTGTGGCCAATGCCAGATGCCCCAGAGGGAGTGAACAGAATAGCTAGTCCTCAAGTGATCCCTCTCCTGTCGTCCATTTCCAGCCCCTGACAAACAGAGGCTAGGAGACACCATTCCTACCCATCCCGGCTAATAGCCATGAATGGACCTAACCTCCATGGATTTATCTAGCTCTTTCTTGAACCCTGTTAAAGTCCTGGTCTTCACAACATCCTCTGGCAAGTAGTTCCACAGGTTGACTGTGAACTGCATGAAGACAAGCCCACAGTCTCCGTCTTATATTAAAAGGGAAACTGAGGCACAGAGGGGCTAAACGACTTCTCCAAAATCTGAGGGTGAAATTCATCTGTGCAAAGAACTAGCATCTGGTCCACGTTCCACTTAAGTCCTTGCAACAATACTTAAATATTAAATAAACTTTGTACAGCTCACTCAGTGAGATCCCAGTCCGCTGCTTTAACCAGTCAGTGTGACTTAAGATACTGTATTGGTTAATACAGTTATATTAACATAGAAAAAGAATTGTGTTTGATAGACAATCTGGAGCAGTAACATACGTCTCTCGAATAACCAGTCCTTGCCTTCCCTGGCTCTCATATTGCAGTATTTTGGAGTTCCAGATATGAACTGTGGCGTGGGGCAAGAGTGTAAGAAATTACTTAGGAAGTTGCTACAAATCCATTAGCAAAGCACTTGATTAGCTAAATGAGATATTGTGCAGCATCCCCCCCCTCCTGGGGAGTTTGCCAGCCTTCTGCCCAGTCTGAAATTTATCCAAGTATTTCTGGCCTTTTTCTGTTTTCCCAGCCTGCCCCGATGGATTTTATGGACTGGAGTGTCAGAAAACCTGCATGTGTCTGAACGGAGCCCACTGCGATCACGTGACAGGCCGTTGCGTGTGCTCTGCCGGCTGGATTGGCCCTCACTGCAACCAGAGTAGGTTCCACGGTGCTACCATTCAAGCTGACCCTGTAGAGGGTCCCCACTGATGCCTTTCGAAGGTGAACTTGGTCAGAAACAGCTTGAAATAGATCCTATAGCAACCTTGTTTCTCTGTTTTAGTGTGTGCTCCAAAGAGAATGGTGCTTGCATGTCTTGTATTGCTTACTCGCACCTACACTGCCATCATGACACAGAAAGCACTGTGACCTCAGGTAGGGAGTAAGCAGCAGGCGGTGACAGATGCTGATTGAGATGTTAAACCCTGTTGGATGTTGCTGCATGAGGACAGTAACCCTTGTGTACCATGGACATAGAATCATAAAATACTAGAATCGGAAGGGACCTCGAGAGGTCATCAAGTCCAGTCCCCTGCCCTCACATCAGGACCAAGCACCGTCTAGACCATCCCAGACAGGTGTCTGTCCAACCTGCTCTTCAATATCTCCAGTGATGGAGATTCTACAACCCCCTTAGGCAATTTATTCCCAAGTTTAACCACCATGACAGTTAGGAAGTTTTTCCTAATGTCTAAACCTCCCTTGCTGGAGTTTAAGCCCGTTGCTTCTTGTCCTGTCCTCAGAGGCCAAGGACAACAATTTTTCTTCCTCCTCCTTGTAACATACTTTTTAGGTACTTGACAGCTGTTATGTCCCCTCTCCGTTGTCTCTTTTCCAAGATCAGCTTTGATGGTAGACTGTGCCCTTCTAGCCAGAACGCCAAGAAATGTACAAGTGATGGGCCAGATCTCAGGTAGTGTAAATCAACCTAGCTTTACTGAAGCCAACGAACCCGCTCTGATTTCCACCAGCTGACAATCTGGCTCTGCATCCAGGACTCCCCTCTCCAGTGAAACTGCTGCGGAAGCTTTGAATGGCTGCAGGTAATCACTCAACAGGATGAAGTTGTCACTGGCGAATATTTTCCAAAGCTTTTCATGAGATGCCAGCAGCTCCTTAAGAGCATGTGCTGCAGAAACAAACATTGCGGGGGCAGGGGAAGACGTCTTTCCTGCGGGGCACACAAAGTTTTGCTGTTGCCTTCACGTTGCTATGAAGAGTCAGTGCAGTTGCTTATGACAAAATAATCAAAGACCCTGTTAACGTCTTGCAAGAATGAAATCCGTCCTTCTCCCAGCGTGGCTGCCTCTGTAGGAAGGCGGAGGGTTTCGATGTAGTTTGAAGGCAGGTCTCAGACACCAATGTCTCTTGCGCCATGGATGGCTTTCACCTTCCCCGGATGTGTGCTGTTTCCATGGGTCTTTGCCACTTTTAGTTGTGCTCTTTATTTGATACTGAGAACAGCTGGGCCAGTCAGGGAGGATGAATGGACTCAGGAAAAACAAGTCCCCTTCTCCCTGGCCTCTGGACCTTCTCCCTCTTTTATAACCCCTGCCCCTAGGAAGGCTCTGAAACACTGAGTTAGCGTCTCTTTTTTTTCCATCTGCCGATTGCTGGCAGATGTGGAAGTGCCAGAGTGGGCAGTTCTTGAGCTGCATCGAGCATGACTGCACTCAGGAAATCCCCAAAGGCTCAGAGAAGGCCTGTTCTTGCAGGATTTCTAGCCCAGTGTTGAAGACTGAAGAAATTCAGAGCCGCTTTGGACCTGGATGGGAGCTGTGCTGCATTTCTCTGACATGTTTATCTCAGGGGAATCGGGCGGGGAGGGGCGAGGGAATTTTGTCTATTTTGCAGTTTCTCTCTCAAAGTTCTGAATGGCTGCGTTTCTGTGACCCTAACTGCGGGGTCATATGGAGGTTTGGGGAGTCTGTATAAACAGCTTACTAATGGATTACTTGCAAAATATCCTGGGAATCAGCAGTAAACAATTTTTGCAACCAATACCGGTTACTTCTTGTTCCGCTCTACTTTGCGCTGATTAGGCCTCAATTGGAGTATTGTGTCGTATGTCCAGTTCTGGGCACCACACTTTAAGAAAGATGTGGAGAAATTGGAAAGGATCCAGAGAAGGGAAACAAAAATGATCAGAGGTCTAGAAAACATGACTGATAAGGGAAGACTGAAAGAATTGGGCTTGTTTAGTTTAGAAAAGAGAAGACTGAGGGGGACATGATAGCCGTTTTCAAGTATCTAAAAGAGCGTTACAAGGAGGAGGGAGAAAAATTGTTCTCCTTGACCTCTGCGGACAGGACAAGAAGCAATGGGCTTAAACTGCAGCAAGGGAGGTTTAGGTTGGACATTAGGAAAAACTTCCTGCCTGTCAGGGTGGTTAAACACTGGAATAAATTGCCTCGGAAGGTTGTGGAATCTCCATCACTGGAGATATTGAAGAGCAGGTTGGACAGACACCTGTCAGGGATGGTCTAGACGGTGCGTGGTCCTGCCGTGAGGGCAGGGGACTGGACTCGATGACTCTCGAGGTGCCTTCCAGTCCTAGTGCTCTAGGATTCTACTTTCCTTTCTCTACAGCCTGTCAAGATCACTGGTATGGCGAGAACTGCAGTCAGCCCTGCATCTGCTTCAATGATGCCACCTGCGACCCTGTTAGTGGACAGTGTCTCTGTGCGGCTGGATGGACTGGAGCCACCTGCCAGCAAGGTACCGCGTTGGGATCACTCCCTATGCCCGGTCTCTCCTCTGCCTTATCTCGGGGGAAAAAACCAGCCATTGGAAAAACAATCCAGGCCTCTGGGGGAGAGGCGGTTTGCATCTGTCTGGGGGGAGCGCTCTGGTATTGAGCCTGGACTATGGCTGAAATCATCTGCACTCGTGCTAAGAATCAGGCCTTGATCCAGCATGTAGTCCCAAATCTATAGGACTACGTGGGCACTTACAGTTAAGTGTGTGATTGTGTCTGTTTTCTGGGGTCCTACAACCAGCAGGGCCGACAGCCACAGTGGGCTCAGGGGCGAGGTGGAGGGGGGCAGTTGGTCCATTTAATGTCTGTCTAGTCCTGAACCCCCTCCCTTGCTCCCCACGTTACAACAGGCCTGATCTCTGCATTTTAAAACCAGTCTTGATCCGCTTCCTGACTGGTTTTTGTCCTGATTCCCCCCCCCCCCAGCGTGCCCATCTGGGTTCTACGGAGAGAACTGCCACCAGCAGTGCCTCTGTCGGAATGGCGGATCGTGTGACCCCGTCACGGGGCACTGCACTTGCCTAGAAGGATGGACGGGATTGGCTTGTGAGCAGGGTAAGTACCAGGAGTGGAGCAGCTGGCCATGTGATGTACGGGCCGCTGGAACCTGCAGAACAGCTGTTGCGCAGTTGGCCTACTCCCAGGAAGTTTTCCCTAATTTCCCTTCAGTCATTCCATGCCCCACGGTTGCAAGGAAACAGTCATTTGGCACAGGCGGCTAGCGGGGAGCGTTGTGTGTTCTCAGGGAACCCAAGTTTGAGCCCCGTTTGTGTTAAATGTAAAGGAAACGGGACTGCCGGTCTGCCGACCCAAAGCAGCCCTGCAGCTCTGACCTGAGCGCGCCCGTCCGGGGAGTCCAATGCACTCTCTGATCCAGCGGTGGCCAGCCTGCGGCCGAGGCCCCCCCTCATGCAGCCCGTTGGGGTTCCAGGGGTGCTCCGTGAGACACTTTGTTTAGCATTGTCCATGCACAGGGTCGCCAGATTCTGCTGGTTTCTGTCCATGTTGTTTTCCCTACCGAGATGACTGAAGTGACACTCATGCAAAGCCGGGGCATGTGTCGTGAGGCAGGGGCTGATGGCACCCACCGTTTTAAGAGCCGTGGGCTCCCTCTGCAGCCAATCCCGGCGCTGCTACGGTTCCGTCGGCCCCGCCCGCACGTTCTAGCTACACAAGCGCCGGGAGCACAACTCCCCTATCGCGGGCGACCCTCTTGGCTCTGACAGTCTTGGGGCCCACGGAGAGGCAGGAGGACCACACTAATCTAACCCAATCTCAGGTGAGATCGCGCCCCAGAGGCAGATCACCAGTGCTCTATGGAGCCAGAACGCCAGGAGCCAAATGGCTGGTCCTAGGGCAAGCTGGTGAGAGCACGTGCCGACTGCAGGTTGCTGACACTGAAGCTGGGATGTGCCGCCCAGCCCGGACAGGCAGACGTGCAATGGCTTTGCTCCAGCCAGAGCGCCAACCCAATCTCAGGTGAGATCGCGCCCCAGAGGCAGATCACCAGTGCTCTATGGAGCCAGAACGCCAGGAGCCAAATGGCTGGTCCTAGGGCAAGCTGGTGAGAGCACGTGCCGACTGCAGGTTGCTGACACTGAAGCTGGGATGTGCCGCCCAGCCCGGACAGGCAGACGTGCAATGGCTTTGCTCCAGCCAGAGCGCCA